GAAAAATTTTTTTTTGCATTAAGGATTAAGTAAGTTTCACAAAAAATTCTGAACTATAGTAAATGACAGATAAAAATCTTGAGGTTCAAACTCCAGGCATCATGAAATTTAATTGAAAGCTATTTAAACAGTTTAAGTCAATTTGTAGTTTTTTTTTTCCTTTTTGTCTTTTTTGGTGACCGGTAACGGGATTGCAACCCTCAGTGTCGCGCCCGCACTGCGCTCAACCAGCGAGCGGACTGGTCTCTATATGGGATCCGAACCCTTGGCGGGAGCGCCGCTACACTCCCAAGCGCCTCACTCTACCGAGTGCGCCACCGGGCCGGCCCCAATTTGTAGTTTTGAAAGCAGTTCTGTTATCCATTCTATGGAAAGCAAGACAAGTCTTTCTGCCCAACTTAAAAATATATATATAAAAAATCCAATATTTTTATTTGAAAATCCAAAAGTCAGAGGATAAATTTCCAAATGTACACTTTAATAGCAAAAAAATTACACATTTCATATGCAATAAAGTATTGGCCATTTATGTAAAAAACAAAGCTTTATGTACACATACATACATATTTTTGTAAAAAAAACATTAAAATGAAAACAGCAGTTACCTCAGGGGACAACAGCTGTGTGGTGATGTTAAGCATTTTCCAGCAATGGTTTGACTTTTCCAGATGAGAAAAGTCAGATTCTATTCCTGTACCATTTGTATAACTAATATAAATTTAAAAAATCCTTCACACTAGCAAATCACAACCTTCACTTCAGTAGAAATAACATACTCAACAGTTAAAATAAGTTATATGCAGATTCAAAAGTAGGGGTGATATAAAAGTAGGCCACATATTCAAATCCTACAATATAAAAAGTTTTTTCCAGTTATCTTTTGGGCAACAATTTGCAAGATATATACTTAGGGTTGCTGCTGAGTTAACCATTACTAGTAAACTCTGTTTAAAATTTTTCTTAATTTCTTCTTGATTTAATTAATTTGCCTCAGACTTCCTTAAATAGACAAATACTTTATCAAAAAATAAATCAATTCTAACTATTCATGCAAAAGATCAATATCTTATTTATTTTTTTTTAAAAGATGACCGGTAAGGGGATCTTAACCCTTGACTTGGTGTTGTCAGCACCATGCTCAGCCAGTGAGCGAACCGGCCATCCCTATATGGGATCCGAACCCGGGGCCTTGGTGTTTTCAGCACCGCACTCTCCTGAGTGAGCCACGGGCTGGCCCAGATCAATATCTTTAAAACAGAAAGGTCTTAGAAGTCCATAAGAAAATAAAATAAATGGATATTACAAAAAGAATTACAAATGGCCAAAATCAACATGTTGACTCTCTAATAGCCCAAACAAAATAAGCAATTAAAATGAGATTCTTTTCACCTATCCAATTTGCAATGAATTAAAATAATAATACCATGGTTGGTGGGGATTCATTGGCACTCTTTTTTACTTGTATCAGTACAATAAATTGGTATAGATTCCTGATGGACAATTTGACAATCCTTAGTTGTCAAACAACTTAAAATTGCCTTAATCATTTGATACTTAAATAATTCATTCTAATGAATTTCCATATTTATTAATTTGATATTTGTTTGTTTTTGGCAGCTGGCTGGTATGGGGCATATTAACTTATTTATAACTAGAGGTAGTTAAAATAAAAAGAACCAAATGATGTTTTTATGGTTCAGAACAGAAGACTTATTAGCATACTCACCTAAGCCAAAGCACTCTAAGCAAGGAGTCCCCTCTTACATTGAAAAAGAAGTCAAAAGAATCAAAAGGAAACATATTGATTTAATTCCTTCAAACACCACAGAACAGGAAGGGCAGACTTTCATGATACCAGAAGGTAGAAGTGGAGGGAATGGAGGAATGGAGTCCCTGCTTTTTTGTAAATCCTACTCTCCACTGCAGAGAACAAAAGAGAGGCACCAGCTTTTTTTCAAGCAAAGGAACTGAGAGTGAGTGTATTAAAATCTCATTTTAGTACTTTCCTATAAAGTTTACTCAAAAACTCCTTTAATTAGTGATTTAAGATGGTCTAGGTGATATTCTTCTATGAAGGAGTCTGCTTGATTCAAGGCTTTTATTTTCACCAGAATAAGAATTATTTCTTTGACTTCATCCCTGAAAAACAAAATAAAAAAGCATTTCCTGCCTTAAAAATGCAATATATGAGAGCACAGTGGCCAATTCAGGACCTAATCATCTGTTGTTAATCTAAAACAAAAGCTTTACCTTAAGCTAATATCTAAAATAACAGGGCCGACCCGTGGCTCACTTAGGAGAGTGTGGTACAGATAACACTAAGGCCATGGGTTCGGATCCCTATATAGGGATGGCTGGTTAGCTCACTTGGGAGAGCGTGGTGCTGACAACACCAAGCCAAGGGTTGAGATCCCCTTACCGGTCATCTTTTTAAAAAATAAATAAATAAGATAAAATAATAAAATACAGAGATGGTGCTTTCTCCACGTTAACTATGAGGTTCAATTATAAACTATCAGTGGATGTATTCTGGCAGATTTCAGTGTGAATGGCTGTAAAAAGTAGAAAAGCATACAGTGAGTGTATCATTAGAAATTTCAGAGGTGCTGTGCTACTATCAGCTTGTGTGGAACATTATGGTGGGAGTCATGGTGGAAGTATTTTATACCATGGACATCAGTAAATGCTACAAGTCTGGGCTTTATAATTATTTCACTCTTTGGAAAGGTGGTTTACCAGAAAACGACTGTATTTAAGCCCCTAAACATCTGGTGTTATGAATGAGACATTCAGAACAGAGACCTAGCTACTGCTGGGTAAGCTCCAGGTTGTCGACCTGTACTTAATAAATGCTGTCTTTAAAAATGGTCAAGAAAATTAAAAACATTTAAACATGCTTATGAGGTTTTTGATTTACTTTTAAATTCTCCTGTGCTATAGTTTTTGGAAGTGCTTATTTTGAAAGAGAATTTACGTTAAATATATGAGTATGCATGAGGTGTGACTATAAAATAATGAGTCATTCCAAAGGTAACCATGAAAATATCTACTAACTCTACAATATTACACAAAGTCTGAACAGAAACTCAAGTAGAGTAAAAGTACAAATCTTTCTAAAAACTGCTCAGAACATACAGAATCCTTGAACTATGTTTACGGAAGTGAAAATAAAATATGCATTACCTGAATTCACTTCTAGATAACTTATGTGCAAGCTGCAATAAAAACTGAATGAAGTTTTCTAGGTGGGGAATAGATGTCCTCATGGTAGAATTTTTGAACCATTTTTCTGGCAGACATGTTGCTACCTATAAATTAAAACATATGGCTGGTTTACAACAATGACAGTAATCTAAGGACACTTGCTAACATAATCTTAAAGTGATCTTGGAAGTGATAATCTCAAAGTGATCCCCATTTCATAGTTTATGTTTAAGTGAAAATTTTGAAAACTTACTTTCTACCTACATTTAAAAAATTTGGTTGGGGGGAAAAAAAAGTTCATTCTTTATTGCTAAGCGATTAAAGTAGGTAGACGACTCTTTAAGAAAACTCTCTAGCAATACTTGTAATTCTTTCCATATTCTTCTATTCCTGAGCCATTAAATCTGTACAAAACATAATTCACAAGTAAAACCCAGAAATGCTTAGACATAAAATGAAATTGGGCAGCCTAGTATATGATATTCACACAAATTAGAGTTAAGGAATCAAGTGGGTGATTCTAAAATACACAGAATGAAACAAAAGTTAATTATGGTTTTGATCTTCTACAAATTTAAACATTGCTTTAAATGTCCATGGCAGCAAAATGACTTAATGTAGGTGTTTGCAATTTTTCTTTTGGAAAACAAAACAAACAAAAAACCCCAGCGTTTTACCATCATCATCCTAAAGGTAACACATGATTTTGGGGAAAGTACTGGTAAAAACAGGAAAATGCTAAAAAATAAAAAACAAAAACTTCTTCATTGCAGAAAGAAAGAAAAAAAGAAGGGAGGAAGAAGAAGAGGGAGGAAAACCCTGAGATCATACTATTCAAAGAAATTTCTGGACAATCAAACAGATTATACTACAGTTGGTAAGATCAAGATCAATATTCAGAGAAGGTAGAAAGCTGAAAAAATAAAAAATGCACCAAATATATATTATAAAATAGGTTAGGTCAAATGAATGTTCTAAAATGCTCTTTCTAAAATAAATCAGGTTAGGGCCGGCCCGTGGCTCACTCGGTAGAGTGCGGTGCTAATAACACCAAGGCCATGGGTTCGGATCCTACATAGGGATGGCCGGTTTGCTCACTGGCTGAGCGTGGTGCTGACAACACCAAGCCAAGGGTTGAGATCCCCTTACCGGTCATCTTTTTGAAAAAAAAAAAAATAAAAAAATAAATAAATAAAATAAATCAGGTTGGTCAACATGGTCGAGGTTTATTCCATTCCTTAATCACCTTTTTCTATTATTCAGAAAAAATGCAGACAAACTGTGATTGCCTAAGGAAGAAGGTCCTGCAAGTTTTTTTCTATGCAAACTGTATCTCTTTTTTAAAGTTTTTTTTTTGTCCTTTTTGAGACCGGCCGCACCGCGCTCACCCAGTGAGCGCTGTGAGTGCACCGGTCATCCCTATATAGGATCCGAACCCGCGGCGGGAGCGCTGCTGCGCTCCCAGCACCACACTCTCCCAAGTGCGCCACGGGCTAGGCCCCTTTTTTAAAGTTTTAAATCCAGCCTTTACTGGATTGGAATTTAATGTCATTTGTACTTGTCTTCACCTTGTTTTGTATCACAAGTCTCAATAAAATTCATGTAGCTTTTCCATAAATAATCCCAGGATGTAAAGTCACATTTTCTTGGCCTGGTTTTCTAGCCACATGTTGTGGAGAAAATGTCATATAAATACACAAGTATTTATCCTTCTTTACTTATGGTCAAAGGGGACTAAACTAAACCTGAAACACATTAACATGGATGATAATTTAAAATTTCAATATATAATGTTTAAAACTGCATGATATAAAATCTATAGCCAGAGGGCTGGCCAGTTAGCTCAGTTGGTTAAAGTGCCGCCATATAACTCCAGGGTCAAGGGTTCATATCCTTGTAACAGCCTGCCACTATAAAAACAAAAATTAAAAAAACAAAAAGCAAAGACCCACTACCAAAACACCAAAACACCAAAAACCAAAACTATAGCCAGAAAAATCATGGTTGGTATATAAAGTTTTATATGTTCCTTTAAAAAAAATTGTATTATAAAATTTTCCTATATTCTTAAAAATTTTCCAACAATATAACTTTTACCTTATGGATAGACCATAATGTTTTTTGGAACATTCAGGTGGTTTCCAACTATCTTCTATTATAAATAATGCTATAACAATATTCTTTGTACTTAAAATCTATATGTGCATCTCTGGTTTTTGAATTAGGATAAATTCCTAAAAGTAAAATGGTTAAGTCAAAGACTATGGACTTTAAAAGTTTTGTACCCATCATGCCAAAATATTCTCTAGAAGAACTGTATCACTCCTTCCACCAGTGCAGGAGATATTTTCCAGAACCAATCCACCAATACAGGTGAAAGGTGTCCTAGAATGACGGGACTGTTGTTTCCTGTGCTTATGACAACACTGGGAATTATAATTAAAATAACAGCAAAAAATGTTTGCCAACACACTGGTAACATAAATATCTTTCCCATAAAATAATCTGCCTTTCTCTGATTACTAGTACTGTTAATCTTTTCCACATATTTACAGGTCATTTTTACATAGCCTTTTTGGTGACTTGACTGTGTTTTGGCCATTTTAATCAGAACATTTGAATTGTTTACTGATTTGTAAAGAGCTTTTTTATTTAACGAGAATATTAATCCTTGTTATGTGTTACAACTTTCATTTCCTAGTTTCTCAACTCCCTTTTAAAAAAACATTATAGAAAATTTCAAACATAAACAATGGGAAAAAGAATAGTGTATAGTGAAGCCAATGAATACATTCCCCAGTTCCAACATTGAAATTAATCTCAATACCTTTTCAATGTTTTTGATCCACTGAAATTTTATATTTTTGTCAAACGGGTTACTTTTTTCCATCATTTCTTCTTTTGCTTTTAAATTTAGAAGGGAATCATTTACCCTCTAATAGTCATTTATCTTCTTAGTATATTTTATAATTTCCTTTTTTACCATTAATTTTTTATTTCACTTGAAATTTATATTGGTATATAGTGTGAGGTGAGGATCTAACATTATTTTTGTACATAGCCAGTTGTCCCAGCATCATTTAATAAGCAATTTTTCCTTTCCCTACTGGTGGTATTTCAAACTAATTATTAAATACAGAGGGGCTTCTTCTGGGTTTCTAGTCTGTTAAACTGATTTGTCTATTATTAGATAAGTACCACAATTTTAATTATTTTGCTACAAAATAGATTTTTAATAACTGAGTTTTAAAAAATGATAAAATTAGAATCAGTTCCTATACAACTTACCTGATTGCACTTTCTAACAACATCTGGCCCAGGTACAGCATTAAGAAGAGCTATAATAAGGTAGCGATTTAGTAGCTTCCCTAGTCCTAGCTCTTGCAAGTCATCATCTGGGAGGAGTCCATTCCAAAGAAGAATATTGCGGAAGAGCTAAAATAAAATATCAAGTGAATATGCATCTTTCCTCCAAAGAGAAATTGTAATAGCCTGTAATGAACATAATGAGTCGGTGAAACCCTTAAACTCTCACTACAATTAGCCCTGTTCAAACTGTCAATTTTAGAGTAGAACATCTCTGAATAAATACCTGATTCTTTCTAACCTCTATGTATTTGCTTATCTTATTTTCATTTTCTATGATAACCACCCCAAATCTGTCTCAAATAACTTCATGGAGCCTTTCCAGGTCAATTATCTTCCTCCCAAGTTCATCCTCTCTCAAAACCTGGGGCCATCGAGGAGGACCCCAGGATTCATAAAATAAATACTGCTGTCAAAGCCAGTGCCACTGTCAGCAATGTGTGAACTTTGAGAAGTCAATGCTGAGAACTTCATTGTATGATATATAAAATAAGATTAACAATAATCTGTGAGTCTGGAGATAACTTGGGTAAAGTACCCATAATAAACTCTAATAATTATTGGTTGCCTTTCCCTCTCTTATAAATCCATTTCTTTCTGTGAATTTTATGGTGCTTTCCACTCTCTTTCCAGTACTATATTATTACTCTGAGTGTGGAACTACATGCAGTTTTTTTTTTTTTTTCTTTTTGTCTTTTTTTCGTGACCGGCAACGGATCGCAACCCTCAG